GTTTGACGATCGCCCCTCATATAAATGAGTTAAGGGTGATTTACTATTAAAATACATGAAAATTTCCTGTTTAAAAAAAGCGCATCTAAGTTTTCGGCTAAAAAGCAATCCTTTTCACACCCTCTGTTACATGTATCAGGGGTAGAAAATGCTGGAGAATCCAACAGTGCAATCTGTTTGACGATTGCCTCTCATATAAATGAGTTAAGGGTGATTTACTATTAAAATACATGAAAATTTCCTGTTTTAAAAAAGCGCATCTAAGTTTCCGGCTTAAAAAACATTCCATTTCACACTCTCGGTTACATGTATCAGGGGTAGAAAATGTTGCGGAATGGAACAGTTCAATCTGTTAGACTATCGCCCCTCATATAAATGAGTTAAGGGTGATTTACTGTTCAAATACATGAAAACTTCCTGTTTTAAAAAAGGGCATCTAAATTTCCGACCAAAAATGTAATTCATTTCACACCCTCCGTTACATGTATCAGGGGTAGAAAATGCTGCAGAATCGAACAGTGCAATCTGTCTGACGATCGCCTTTCATTCAAATGAGTTAAGGGTGATTTACTGTTAAAATACATGAAAATTTCCTGTTGTAAAAAAGCGCATCTATATTTCCGATTAAACAGTAATCACAATTTTTCCACAATTACAATAAATACTAAAATTTGGTACTTAGTGAAGAATGGAACACTTTTTTTATTAATATTTGACTAATGAAATAGTTTTGAGAGAAGGTGCATCTACCGTTAATATTAATATTTGGTATAAATGCCCTTTTTAACTTAATGTTGATTTCACCTGTATGAAGACCGCAATATAATAATACAATTAATCTAATTGAAGGAATAACACAAAATTTTAAAATAAATTCTTACAAGTGTACCCTAATTGTCATGACTAGTATCAAGAAAATACAAACTCAAAGTGTAACTATTTAATAAAAATGATCATTTAATAATAAAAACTGAATATGAAATATAAGTATAGCCAAAAATCAGTATCTGAAGTGTGCTCAAATTAAACAATAGGATCAAGATTTTGTTAAATCACTAGAGAAAATAAAAAACAAAGCTACTTACCGAATTAAATTACTGGAATATAAAACACATCACTTTCTAATGGTGCACTTGTTATTATTTTCATCAAATCATAAACACTTTGAAGTTTATGAAGGTAATTTCGGCATAAAATCGTTTTATTTTCGCGAAAACGCGTTAAATGTTCCATAAAGCCCGCGCACTTTTCTCTTTACTGTTTGTGAATAAAACCAACAACAGAATCGTTGCTTTGCGGCCTTCAAAGAAAAAGACTACTAGCGCTATCGTAACCCATAGTACGAGAGATATTAAACTATCACTGGAGGCTACAAGGACATGTATAATGAGATTAAAAACAACGATTGCTTATATGAAATTCACATCAATTTGATACTGGAATGTCTTATTACAAACAGTAACAAGTTATGAATACAGTTTCATTTGATAGGGAACTTTTTACATCAGATAGATAGTAATATATTTTTCTACATTTTGTAGCAATAGAATAAATGTAATATGAAAACTCCATAATTTTGTTGTTATTTGTAAATAATGTTTCAGTAATAAAAGTTAATAAAAGAAAGGAAGTTTTAGTTAAGAAAAACCCTTGTAAAAAATATTGGCATGCATCTTTAGTTAGCACAACGGTGAGAAATTTTAATGATCAACCCTCAAAATGCTCCCAATCTATTTGTATAGTTTTGTCTTATCGTAATTTTCCAATTAATATCGTTGTTATTTTACTAAGATTATTTACCGTTGTTAATAATTCATTTAGTTAACAGAAAATAATGTATTTTGTTAATTCACATCTAGTTTTTAATGTAAATTTATTGATTTACTTCTATTAGTATGATAGTAAAGAAAAAAATATTTATTTAAACTACAAAGAAGTACCTACATTGAAAAATAAACCATATAATTNAGCAATAACAAAGTATCAACTTGAGTCAGATACGCAAGGTGACCCAACTATCTTACTAGGAAAAAAGCCATTTCAACGAAGGCCAACAGATAAAAAATGAATAATCGATAACCAAATGTTCTAGAAATGTTGAATGTCAATCAGAAATAATTTTTTAAAAATATTAAAAACGTCATAAGATACATAAGAACATATATCAACCCTGCACAGCGCTATAAAAATAAATTTTTCAGCAGAATATCTCGGCATTTGCTACTATCTATAGCCCCTATAGCCACCCCCTAAATCCGTTATTACTAACTAAAGATGATACTGTCGGTATTGAGACGCGTTTATGGTTTTAAACGTTTTAAATTAGAATTTTTGGTTTTGAAAGTATTTTTTTTTTCAATTCCATATTTACAAACAGTAATTTGTATACTATCGGAAAATAAGCAATGCAAAATATGTTTTGACCGATTTAAGGGTTGATTTAATAACACAAATGAATCCAATGAAATCTACCTAAAAGAAAATAGAAAAACGCGTAGAAATTGATGGAATTGATAGCATGCACAGAAAGAGATAATGCCTCAATATTTATAATTTAATTTTGAATATTTATTCCTATCCCAAAAATAAAATTAAACCTATTTTTTTCAATCAGCCTCCTACAAATTACAATCAAATTATAGGGTATTGAAAGCAATCGGTGGTGGGGAAATTTGGGGCAACATTTTAATTTTCATTACTTTTAAATGTACTGATTAATAGTAATTATCATTCACTAAATGTCGTGCTATACCCAACAAAGCAAACAAATAAATTAAATAAATAGTTAACAAATAAAAAAAGATGTTAATCATTTTAAATATAATTTTTAATAAAATGCTACAAAGTAAAGGAATGATAAATTACAGAACAGTATATTAATTTTTCTATCAACTTAAATAGAATTAGAATAATGCAAACTTTTCCGTTTAACAATTATCAGTACATAACAGACAAAATTTTGCCACTATTGAAAAGAGAGCAAGCACCAAAGCATTACATTTAACTATATCTGTTATAATAACAATGTTTTAATGACAGTTATTCTTATTTTTTTTTTTTTAAACAACATGTTACATTCTGATCTGAAACCGTCCGGCCTTGGTAATATATTTAACACCTTTAAATGGTTTATATTTTTCGCCATACATATCTAATCGATTGACTTTTAGGCCACTGATAGCAAGTTGATTGATCACAAAGTGCACATTAACTGACGGGTTTATTTCATTCGTATTTGCACCAGAAGCAAAAGAAACCTTAAGAAAAAAATGTTGTCTTCCCATAAAAAGTAGCAAAATAATTTAGTATACTTACAATTCCTTTTATATTCGGTAGTTTACTGACGTCAATTCGTCCTACGTCCCAATGGAGGATTTTCGATACAGGATCAAAATTATATTTACCCTGATTGGTTTGCAGGATACAATTAAGAATACATTTGGGCATAAGAACTTCCAATTTTACTCCTAAAAGGAATTTTACTGTCAGAATTATTTTTACATCCTACAATTTATTTACCTTCTACCATCCGGCCTAGGGTTTGTTTAGGACCCACTGTAATGTCTAAGCGACCTTGTTCCCCCGATTTAACAGAAAAATTGTGCCTAACATAAATAGGAATGGCAACAACACTTTGACTGTTAATATGATAAGACATCAGCCTAAAATTTCCATCTGGTGGGACGAATGATAAAACTTTTTCGGCCTTTAAAAAGAAATTTTGAAATTAATAGGTATCCTTGATTAAAATTAATCAAAAATAAATATTTTCGTACCTCCCACCTCTTAAATCTCACACAGGGATGAAAGCTAACGTCGTCAAAAAGTCTTGAATTCATGAAAGACAAAGTAAGATCTGGCATTCCGCTAAGTTTAATACAACAGTCAATCTGAAAACACAAAATACAAATTAGATTCTTAAAAGAAGACTACCAAAAATGGCTAGTAAAGAGGAAGTGAATGAGAAAATACACAAATGGTAATATGAGTCCGATAACAATGGTAATGACGAACTAATTACCCTGTAAATACTGCAAGTGGAATAGATAAGATGCATGTGAGAATGTGAGTGCAAGTTTATCTATCCCATTCACAATGAAACGTTTCCCCACATATTTCTTCATGCCTTTTAAAAGCTCATATTATAGTCCATTTAAAACTGTGTTAATCACTTTCTTTTTGTTAAAAATTGTTTGAAAAATTAAATTTAAAGCAATTGTTTGTAAATAGGTATGCAACACATCGTACACTTCAGCATAATAACTTGCAATATATATTATAATATAAAAAATTAATACATACATATCCCTGAATCTCTGCCACTACTGTGCTGCCACTTTTATCAATAATTGCATCCACTTCTTCCACTACATCAAAATATGCTTCATTATTAGAATATTTAACACCACTTCTTCGCCATGGTATGTTAGATAATTGACCAGTAGGAAGTGATTCACTCACACTGAAACGTTTTAAAAGAAAAACCTTTAATATCTAAGGTATAAGCATTTGTCAAGTAAAGTTACTTAGTTTTTCCTGTAACAGTATTGGCTATCGTTCTTAAAATATTTGGGGGTTTGATCAGTTCCTTCAAAATGTTACTCTCAGTTGCAAGTGGAAAACCATTATCAAGCATTTCGTCTAAAAGCTTAATATTTAACAATTAAATACAATTTGAATGGAGAAAATAATTATACACATTTACCTCATAAACTACTACATAGTTTTCTTTAATTATAGACTCTGTACAGTCGGAAAAATAATCCTAAAAAGATACATATATTTAAAATAAGGAACTGTACTACTCCATTACATAACCATTGTATTTACCTGAAAAGTGTCTACCACTCTATGTAAAAATTCAATAACAAACAGTGGTGGAACTTCCTGCATACAGACAGCTATAAGACTAATTCCTCCTCGTTGAATGGAAATTAAGTAATGATGGGGTGCAGCAATTACAGGAGGGATATCATTAGGATTTGACCTCTGAGCTTCTAAGTAATAGTCACATATTGACCTAGATATAACACTGCGCCAATGCTTCTCAAGAAATACATCTCTAAAATATGATGGAACATACATACACTTTTAAAAAATACAAATTAAATGTCACTTACCCCGATGAATTAATTATAAATAAACTATGAATCATTTCTCTGTTAGAATTTAAGAAATGATATACAACAAATGTACTACAAGTATACTGCAATCATACTTGGCCAATTTTCACTTTTTGTTACTTAACTGTACTATATTTCACACAGACAGCATATGCACAAAATTAAACGAAATGTTTAGAAACTTAATTAAAGTGTACAATTACATTTAATAAAAATTATTTCGCTTTTATTCTTACTATAAGACAAGCAGGACAAGTTAATTACATAGGTTATGTTATCATCTGTCAACACAGTATTAATTTTAACTGCTAGAGGGCAGAGCAGTACGTTGTAAAAAGGAAAATTACGAGCGGGAGATTTCAAATATCTTAAAATTTTCTTCGAGACATGTTTATCTACCTTATTGCAAAATTTTCAACCCGTTAAGACATTTTAAATGGACTTATCAATATTTTAATGAATAATATATAACATACCATCCTTTGATACATAATTTCAAACTGCAGAAGTTTTTAAGTAATAAAAGATTTAATAAATTACAGAATGTATTTGTAGTTTGGTTAAGATACAGTAACTTCAAGTGCACAGGTACTAGATCCTAGATAAGGCTTGTTCAACAACGTCTTACTGTTTAATAATCCTGAGCATTTCACAAAAAATACATAAAGCCAATAGTTTTACAACCAATTGATAATTGATAATAATGCCATAAAATAACAAACAGAATGTTTTAAACAACAATTTTAAATACAAAGTGATTACAAAAATTACCTATCACATCATTTCTAAAAAATACTGTAATAAATAAAATGGAAAGGATTTTTTTAATCACTTTATATCTGTATGCTTCCAAAAAAGGTAAAAAACGATTGGAAAGTTATTACTAATTGCCTCACTTTTACGTTGTACTGCCTACAACCGTTAGAAAAATAGATTACTTAAAATTCCCTCTTACAATTTACAGTAAAGATGCCAAACATTTGTTTTGTTAACATTTAAATCAAATTTAATCAGAACGGAATAAAGGTATTTGAAAAAGTTTTCAGAGAAGAAAATGTAAGCAATATACCTTAATCTTACTAGACATTTTTTGTCTCCTATAAATGAAAATATCCAAGACAATTATACAGATACTTATACAATACAACAAAATAGTAGTAACATTCCAAAAGTTAATGTTTACACCTTTATTGGAACATTGAACACGGTAATTTATTTTAAGAAACATTATGTATATACCTATGGATTTTAGCTGTTTATTTATTATTTACAAAGCCCTTTTACTGTACGTTATAAAAATTAAAAAATGCTCTAGAACTATAGAAAAAAAAAAGATAAATTTCGATTCGTTGTTTAAAAATAAATTACCATGTATGTTTAAAACTGTTTCTGTTTGATCATCTTTTAACAATTCACGACTATCCTAGAGACGAACTGACATGATGTAAAGAAGACCAAAAATCATACTTATTTTATAATTATCTACAATTTAATTTGTTCAGAATCATCTCCAGATAAATGGTTGCAATAAATAATATTTCGCCAAACGTATGAAGTCGAATTTACAAAGATATTCAATTAATTATTTAATTACTACCTGTCTTAAGTATGTACATTGGCTACTTTACAAAAATGTTTATTTAACCACAATTGACTATTACTAATATTATTTTGCTTTTTTTCTTCAGACCGCAGATACACTCAATTTATTTGTTTCTTTCAAACGCGCACTGTCATACTTTAAGAACAATATTCTTTATCATATATGTACTTATGTGTACTATAAAAATTATCTTTCCTTAAATCATTTGACATGCTTATTTGCAGTTAGGAAATTTTGCTCCAGTAACAGCGGACCAAGAGGGTAGCGAAGTTTAAAATAGGACACATTAGTCCTTAGACGCTTAATAATTAATTAATTTTAATATTAAGGTTTGGATCAGTTCTTGAGATAATAAATTAGCGTCAAATTAAATACCAATTAATAATTGTATAAGCAAATATATCGTAGAATAAAAATAGATCAAACAGAGAAATAAGTACAGAGAAAGTTAAGTAATGATTTAAGTAAGTGTTGTTTCTATTTGATGCAATTTATGGTGGTATGGAAAACTGTGAAATTGACAAATCATTACGAATTTTGTGTGTATTTATTTAACGTAGTATACAGGGCATGTGTGGGAAATAGAAAATTATATACAAGGTACCAATTCATATATGAAGGAACTGCAGGGAGCTAAGCAGAAGTAGTGAAAATAACAAAATATATATCTTTCTAAATTTTCCTGAAATCTTGGAAAAATTGTATATAAATATCGACAATTATCTTTATGAATAATTTTGAACGCCAAATATCAAAAAGATTTTGAGAGTTTGAAGTTTGATTAAAAACAGTTAATAGTTAGTGGCAATTAAATTCAACGACAAAGAAACGCTCTGTATAACCGAGTCTTCTTTAAAAATCATTTCACCAGAAATATTATCAATTAATTTATAAAACACATGGTTGTTAAAAATAAAAACGTTTATGTGATAATTATTTTTAATTTAATGTTTATGTGGATCTCCTTTTTAATTTCCTATTCCAATTTGAAAACAAAAATAATACTCTTATCAATCATATTTTACCGTAATACTGTAGGGTCTTATACATCACACATAGAGAACAACATTTTTCCTTTTTTTTCCTGCTACATATAAGCACCAGTATTTTCAATTAGACCTTCAAGAAAAATTATACGTACGTGTGATATCGTGCCAAGGGCACGATCAATTCGAAATTTGTACTTAAAAGGATACTTAAGAAGTAATATAGATACATATATAGATTTCATCTGTATTTTCATTATACGGCAAATAAAACAAAAAAATTATGAATTGTGTAGGTACTAAAAACTCCTTTTGATAGTTATATTAAATTTACGAAACTAGAAGTTGCTAATATGGCACTATTGTATCAATTTGTGCATTAAGATGGCAATAATATTCAACGCACTTCAGTATTCCTCCCTTCAGTCTTAGTACAAAGTACCATTCGACTCAGTTCGGCCTCCCGAATCAAATGAGACAATTCCCACCACCTCCTCCTTCGGTTGGCCTCCAAAAGCAACGAGTGCAAAAATACACCAAGATGGTTAGGATAAAATAATTCGAAGTGGTCTGTATTCTGTCGAAACTGTCAGACGCGGATCGCGATTACGATCTTTTTGGATCTCATCAGCGCGCCGCAGGCAGCTCCGACAGAACACAGACCAACTTTTACCTGCTGTCTTAACAGTACGTTTTAGAAAATACTAACAGATGGCGTTTACTGCGACATTTGTAGTATTTTCTAAAACGTAGTTTGAGTTATGCTCGACTATTTAAGGATGGGGGTAGGAGTACCGAAGTGCGACTGCTTGATTAAAACAATTTAAAAGTGCCAATACTTAAAGGCTTAATTTCAAAATGTTTATGTATTAATTAACTGAAATTACCGTAAAATTATTATACAGAGCGTTTTATTTTCTCAATACTGCATGAAAGTGTTTTACAATAAGTTATTGATAAAATAGAATTCTTAAAAAGAGCCACTTTGTGTATGTTAATGATTCATACCTAATTTATTTTTCACGGCCGTTAAAGTTGATGGTAATTATTTATTAAAATTTGGTATGCTAATTCATTTCAACCTCAATTACAGTAATTAATGAATCCGAAGGTCCACGATAGATACAGACTATTCTTTTTTAAATTGTTGGTCTAAATTTTAGAAAATTGCAAGTATGTTATGTTATATTTAGTACATAAAAACTATCCCAAAATGAAATGTTGTTTCTGTTATCAATTAGGTACCACCTTAATGCTTTGTTTTCTGTACATACAAAAAAAATTAATAAATAACAAACTTCTGAACTGTTTAAATCATTGAATTCTACCTTGCGATATTCTTAAGATTCGTAAAAAAATATTTTTAAAATTGCAATCTTACTCTATCCCTTTACAATACAGACTCCAACTGTTTAATTTCCTTCTCCCCAGGACTTGGTAGGGTGTGTGTGATTTCTGGGATTGAATTTTTATCCTGTCGGTTGCTGCTCATCGTTATCGGACCATCTTCTTCCTCTTCGTCTTCGTCGATTGGAGTAAGCTGGTCGTCACCCATCATGGGTGATGCTTCGGGACCATCCCTTCGTAAACATGGAGCTATAAAACTAGTTATCGCTGACACCCCAAACAACGCCGCTGCTACATAGAATGGTATGTCGTAGGAATCCGTCATGTCATGTATTGCCCCAGCCAAGGGCGAACCCACGATAGCCGCAGCACCACGAAAAAGGATTAGAAGACCGAAGGCATTCGTTAGTTTGTCTAAACCCAAGAGGTCCACCAGAATAATGGAAGTTAATGAAATATAACCGGCTGAAAAAGAAATATATATAAATCGTAGATTGTAAAAAAAGACTGGTAATTAAAAATAAAAGATATCAACTTACAAATGGCAATTCCAAAAAAGATGGCCATAATGACGTAAGCGGCGTAGGTGTGACACATTGGGGTTAAGGCAACAGATATTGTCGATATCACCAGACACAAATTATTGACGAGTAGCGCATTAACTTGGGGGAAGTCCGCGAAAAATCCACAAGCAATACGACCAAACGTATTCGTAATACCGATAACAGAAATTAAGAAGGATGCTTTGCCAAGTTCAATACCCTGAAAAAAATTATACATATAATACCTCCTCCAACCTTTTAAAGATTCCAACAAAAAGTCTAAAAAAATTTTCAATTTTTCATTCCCACTAGCTACAAATGTTGGGAGGAGGGACTTCTACAGTGCAAAGCACTTATCAATCATGAGGATGGGTGGATAATAGTTAGGAATAGAATGGAAAAGAGAAATGAACATAAATGAAAGAAAATATCAGAAAAACTTGGATAAGAAAGCACTAAGCAATCTCTGGACAACTGGACCGTACAGTTCCATCCCCTTGAAGTATTGTAGCCTCAGTTTACCCTATGAAAAATACACAATGACCTTTTTATACTTACATCGTCCGTTGCACAATTGACAAGGTAGACGAAAGGTACGTAAAGCCCCGCCATCCCGAAAAAGTTCGAGATCCCGATCATGACAAACACGGGATCTTTTAGTAGGCTCATGTCCATCATTTGAGCTAAAGCCGACTTGAAACTTTCGGGCAATACTAAACAAGGACACAAATCGATTTCTGCAAAGACAGTGTTAACGTTTTGCAGAAGTACAAATTATTTAAATGTCTGTCATTACGTTCAATTTTATCGGGTTCGGCGGTATCAGGACGTGCCGATCTGGATATGCTAAGTACACTCTGTCTGTAGTTGGTCAGTGATTTTTGAGACTGGTATTCGGGCAAATTGATCACCGAACCAGAATAAAAGATGTCTTTACGAGACATTGGACGAACCATTATTGGACGTTCACGAGCAAGCGACAGTTTCGAGGTAGCCATGTTACTTTCGATATCAGCCTTTAATACAAAAAAGAATACTTTTAAAAATATCAAAGTATATATCTAGGAGTTAGCCATTTATGTATTAAGATACTCGACTTTCGTCCTCCTCTTTTTATGAGCCTGTACATAAGGAAGACTCAAGGATCATGACTCCCCAAAAATTATTGTTGCTAATTGCACAATACTCATTTTATAAGAGTTTTTAGGAAATTAACAAAGAACGATTATTCACAAAGATAATAATTTTGATAAAGACGTTAATCAGAGTAATAAAGTTCACTCAGGTGTTGCATAATTTTAATTACCTAATCACTTATTCTTTTAATAGATATATACCTATCTACTGTTTTTATCTTTTTTTTTTTCATTAAATTGTGGACAAGATTAGCAAAACTGTTTGTGAAACCGCAACTGACGAAGCCTGAGATTGACGTACCTACTGAAATACTGTTTTTTTTTTAATAAATTAAATAAAACAAATAAATTTAAATGACAATTCCCAACTGTTACACGTGTATCTCTCCATGTCATTTGAATATCTTCTGAATGTCATCGTGGATAGAGAACGTTAGAAATGAAGAGATATTAGAAAGAGTAGGAAAACAGAGGACTCTAGGGAAGTCAATAAGAAATAGGCGAGATAGGTTGGTAGGACACCTTCTCAGGCATGAAGGTCTAATCAGAGACATATTAGAGGCAGAAACGGGTATATATATATATCGAGTAGAAGTAGAAAATGAAGATTATGGTAAAGAATATAAATCACCCCAAATAACCAAACCACCACTTATCACAGCAGACACGTGTTTCGCCTACCTTAAGTGTAGGCATTAAAATAATTTCCACATTCGAAGCGAAGGGCAAAACATGTGTCTGCTGTGGTGAGTGCCAGTAATAATTTGGGGTGAGTCTCTCTTTTTGTCTTTTCGAACAAAGAATGTTAAGTATTTCATTAGAAAATTTTGTCTGAACTTGAATATTGGCATTAATTCGGTATGAATTAGACTTTGGACTGGTTCCAAAAAACCACAAATTGTCACGATTCAACCAGGTGTTTTCTACTCCTACTATTTCTCTGAAATGTTAAAATTAATTTGGCACCGGTCTGACTATTGTGAAAAATTACTTAAAGGTATAAAACCAATGGAGGTACTAAGCGAGTCTATGTTATATTTAATTATTCTCAGAGAGGTAGCAATGAGATTATTTTGGCGAAAAAGAAAATAATCTTAATTTGTCGTTTAGTCAAAACGGTAAAAACTGTTGGGTATCACAAGCTGGACAATTAACGATCAGTTTGCTTGCGTTTATACGTAGAATATTCCTTAATTTATTAATGACGCAATCTTATTAAGCACAATTTACAAAAAGAACGTTAAGTCGTTTAAACTGTTCAATTAATGAAATTGAATTCGAAACAGTTGATGCTGCAGATTATCACGTAATTTTAAACACATGAAAGGGAAGAAGAAAATGACCGAATAAAACTAAAATACTCACATCGGCGTTGTTATTTTTACTTCCGAAAAATGATGAAGACTTCCTCATTATCACGCTTTTCCTAAGATCTCCGTTAGAGTCGACGTTGCCCTTTGACGAGGACTTAATAGGGTTAAGGGTGGGTTTGAACCGACCGTCGCCCACTGAGGCTTTTCGAATTCTATCAAAAAATGGTACCGATCCATTTTTAGGAATGCCCTGATGGTGAGTACTAAAAGCGGGCTGACTCGCATTGCGGGGCATGCGATTTGCGCCCATATCGGAACTTTCAGTGGACGCTCTTCGAATTGCCTTTGGCAATTCTTGTTGTTTGATCTCCTCGACTCTGGGCTTCTTGTTCAGCTGGGCCTTCAGTTCTGCTGCACTTCCGCCGCTAGAGTCACCCGAACTCCCATGAATGTCAGCCTTTCCTTCGGTAATGGTTGGAAGAGTGGGCACCGTTGGAATAGGCGTGATTGGGGTTCCAGGAGCTAATTGGTCAAGGTTCAAACTAGAATGAACGCCGGGATCTATGTTCAGTGGCGTTTTCATTCGTTTTTCCATAGTACCGTCCGGTAATTGTACCATGAAATACGATCCACCTATACTACCCCTTTCCATCTGGATTCTACGTTCCTCAGCCATCCTTTGGAGAAGAGGTGTCATATTAGATGACTTGGGATATTCCAAAGGTCTCATTAGGGCACCAAATATTACACAGTTAAGAATGAACCCGGCTAAAATTAGATTTGCCCCTTTCCATCCGTACATATCGAGTAATTTGGTAGCGAGTGGAGCAAAGGCAAACGTCCCGACGCCGGAACCGCAAACAGCAATTCCCGTGGCAAGAGATCGCTTCGTTTCAAAATAATATCCGACACAAACGACCGCGGGAAGGTAAATCAATCCGAAACCTAAACCGCCAAAAAATCCATAAATGAGCATGAGTGAATTAACTGTAGGGCACATCGTCGATAGGAGAAAAGCACAGGTTGAGATCACAGCGCCACTTATACACACAGCCCGACAACCGAACTTATTTGAAAGGGCACTGACTAAAGGTCCCGCGCTAAGGTACATCCCCGACAGTAGTGAACCCACCCAAGCAGTTTTGCCCGGAAGTTCCCCGTAATGGCTCGCAATATCATTCAAAAATACCCCGAAAGTGTAAGCTATACCGTCCACGATCATGTTACACATAAACGATGCAAACACTATCACCCAACCGTAACCACCGTCGGGAGGTGGGGGATAATCATAATAGTAAATAGTTGTGTCATCTTCTCCCCCATCTCCCTCCGCGGCTTCCGCCGTTAATCTGGCTGTTTCTTCACATGCTACCTCGCTGTCCGTCTGAAAACAAAAGAGAAACATATTTAGGGTTATGACTTTTACTGTCATCCATACCAAAAAATGGGTGGTGTGCATCAAGCTGAGTATTTAGTATGGTCTCACTTTTTTTAAAGTAGCCACTCCATTTGAAATGTGGTGTTACAGGCGAATGATGAGGATAACGTGGATAGAGAACGTTAGAAATGAAGAGATATTAGAAAGAGTAGGAAAACAGAGGACTCTAGGGAAGTCAATAAGAAATAGGCGAGATGAGTTAGTGGGACATCTTCTCAGGCATGAAGGTCTAATCAGGGACATATTAGAGGCAGAAACGGGAGTTAGGAGGGGTAGAGGTAGACCTAGATTAGATTACTGTTCGCAAATAGTTAACGATGTGGGTTGTCCTAGTTTTAGGGAAATGCGAAGATTAGATAGGAAACAGTGGAGGTGCGTGTCCAACCAGTCTTAGGACTGACGACCTTATGATGATGATGATGATAAAGACATAAGGAGAATCTCAAACATCTGAGTGTCTCATCTGTCTTTTCTTGAGGATATCCTCCCTCATTAATTATCGACTCAGATTTTTGTATGATAAATAACAATCTACCAGCACTACAGACTGCTTACATTCAAAATGACTTTTACTGTCATCCTTCCCAAAAAATGGGTGGTGTGCATCAAGCTGAGTATTTAGTATGGTCTCACTTTTTTTAAAGTAGCCACTCCATTTGAAATGTGGTGTTACAGGCGAATGATGAGGATACCGTGGAAAGAGAAGGTTAGAAATGAAAAGGTGTTAGAAAGAGTAGGAAAACAGAGGACTCTAGGGAAGTCAATACGAAATAGGCGAGATGAGTTAGTGGGACATCTTCTCAGGCATGAAGGTCTAATCAGGGACATATTAGAGGCAGAAACGGGAGTTAGGAGGGGTAGAGGTAGACCTAGATTAGATTACTGTTCGCAAATAGTTAACGATGTGGGTTGTCCTAGTTTTAGGGAAATGCGAAGATTAGGAAACAGTGGAGGTGCGTGTCCAACCAGTCGTAGGACTGACGACCTTATGATGATGATGATGATAAAGACATGAGGAGAACCTCAAACATCTGAGTGTCTCATCTGTCTTTTCTTGAGGATATCCTCCCTCATTAATTATCGACTCAGATTTTTGTATGATAAATAACAATCTACCAGCACTACAGACTGCTTACATTCAAAAGTGCGAGTGTCACAATTGGCACACTAAATTTCGCAAAAGTTGAGTGTTTATATTCGCATGTTCGCTAAGTATTTTTTCAAATATTAGTGTTCTGCTAGGCTAAGATTAATTAAACAGGACATGAGCGAAAAATTTAAATACTTATCATATGCATCCAACAGAGACCAGTTACTAATAAAATATTTCCAGTATTTTAGCAATAAATAAACGACATCGCGACTTTGACAAAATGTTGGTATAAATGCCCCTGAAGTATTTTACAACTTACTAGAGCATATAACTAGCCTTTAATGAGCCTTTAAACAGTTCATCGATACTTATTTATTGAAAAATTTATCTCTTGATAATAATATCATATGTCTGAACAACCTAACATATTGCATTACCTTGAGGTCTTACAGTTTTCAGTGTAAATTGACCCTTTCTAAATTAAAACAGAAAATCGTCCACTTAAAAAACGATAGTATCCGTTGAAGTTTTTTTGGCACAAGATCATGATGGAAACAAGTGTAGAACGTTGCTCGATATTCGATACAGTTTTGTATACAATTTTATAAATAGACCTTATATATTCACATTACGGAAAGTTTTCTATTACCTTTTATTCGGGAAATGTCCTTCCTCGTCTACTTTTCGTTTAAATATAAAACAGAATTAATTTTAAAATCACGTTTCTTGTTTAAAAATAATTATCACTTGAGAACAAATAATCTAATAATTGCATCTTTTGCACAAACAGTAAAGATAAAAATACTGATAAAGAACAAACAAGAAACCGCTTTCGAAATTGTCCTCCTGTACTTTTACAACATTTACGAGTTTTTAAAATTTGAGTAAATTGCGAAGATCATTTTCAGTAATTTGTTGAAATAATACACATAAAATTTTAACGATTTTCTCTTTTATGTCATTTATTGTATCCTTTTACAAAGAGAGTAAATATTCCAGAAAGAAAATGAGGTCAAATGGGATAAATATCTACATGTGACAGGCGGTTCTGAGAACACTATGATTCATTTAAACTAGACAATATGTCCTAAATTAAGTATTACAATTGAGATTTTAATTAGTTTTGACATCGACATCCGCACCTGAATGATTTACGTAGGCAAAAAAATTCGTAGCAATTCTGTACAAAAAAACAGTCCCTTCGCAGAAAATAAATAGATCGTTGAAAAATTGGAAATAATAAATTTAAATCCATTTAAATGCAGCCTTAATGAATTAATACATTACATAAGAGAAGTTAGTTATCTGACAGTGCCAGGTAACTAATTGTCCTTTTACAATACATAAATTTATTATTTATCGATTGACCTATTTTCAGTTTATTTGTTTCTTCCATTTTATCTAAATATACAAACATTGAAAGTCCACAATGGATTCAGAACAAGGTTACAAAGTTGACAAAGGAATATAAAACTGAAAAAGCGCAGACCGCAAGTTTCTGACAACTTCCTCGTATAATTTAATCTAATTTTGTGGACAAAGATTAAATCCTGCCAGTAACATTTGATTTCACATGACTCATCACACATCTAACGAAAATAAGGAAATGTTTTAGGGGAAATACACAAATTGATTATTTCCTTTTTTGTTTTCCAACACGATTTTTGTAGTAGATTGAAGTAAATCAAGATAGCATTAAAGAATACAACGTTCTTTTACTATTTCTTAACACAAAAAAAAAATACCAGAATGATTCAAATATAAGCAACACATCATTAATGGTACTTCTACAAGTAACAAAAATTGATAACGTGTGATAAGCAGATAGAAACAGTAAATCTCGGTTAAGAACGTGATCATTGATGAAAACCATTCTAATAATATTTTACTTAAAAAAGATAATTACAAACAATTTTATATGTATACCTTCCTGAATTAAACATAAAACAGCACGTTATGTCACTGAAACATTAAAAAAAGAAACGGTTTATCAATGATTCTGCTTAGCATAAAATATTTTACAGCATTTGAAACAGATAAAACTCCAACATCTTCTATTGCACAAACTAATTTTTAATTACAAAAGAGAATCTGTAATTAATTGGAGTACGTAGATACAACAAAGAACATGACATGGTAAAGGTCTAGATGAGGTCCGCCCCCAACCACTGTACCATAAAAAGTTCGTGTCGGTCTCACCCCCATAAAAAGTTATGAAGTTAATAAACATGCCAATTTTTATGCATTTCTAGGCATGTAAATATTTATATAGTCATTCTTAAACAATATTCAAAGGTAAAACTAATGCATAAAAATATTGAGAAAGTTATATAAAACATTATTCAACTATCTTTATCAATAGGCTAGGTTAGGTTATGTTATCGGGTTTTGTTCAAGTGACCACCCTCTTTCGATCCCCCACCTCCACCCGCTTGAAAATTTGTTTTTTTATTGAATTTTATTTGAATTATAGTGTATGAAAATTGTCAAAATAATCAACTTTCAACCCCCATAACTTTTTATGGGGGTGAGACAGCCGCAAATTTTTTATGGGGTTTTACTCAGGTGACCACCCTCTTTCGATCCCCCTTACACCCACCCCGATCTAACCCCCACAACTTTTTATGGAGGTGAGATCGCCACGAACATTTTATGGTACAGTGGTGGGGGAGACGTCCTCTTTCGATCCCATGACATTTACCCATGTCATCTTCTCTTAAAAAATAAAAATAATGGCGACATCCTCCATATACATATTATACGACCGGAAATTTTAAAAACCAGATATTGTATCAACTCGAATACATTTTACAATTAGATGAAACAATATACATACATAAAACAACCAATTTTTGAATTATACTTTTTTGGCGCGTCGAGTAGTATAAATTCAACAGGCAACGGAAGTTGCACACGCATATATGGGTGAAGGCGCACTTTGGGCGAGCTGCCCCGTTCTTTTCCACTCCTATACTGAGATTCAAAATGATAAGTGGTGGTGATCATATAGAGAAAAACGAGATGGATGAAATGAAAACAGTAGAGGATTAAGAAACCATCTTGTGTGCATTTATGGAATATTACTGCCCCAGTGTTCCCCCGAATATTATTGTATAATCTTTACTAAATAGATTCTAGGTCACGCCACAGGGATAGTAGCAACATTTAAGCAGGACAGCATTCGCCTCGCGTTTGTAATGTCCAACAAAATCAACGGAAAAAACTTTTGGGTGTTTCGTTCCCACCAGCTACCAATTCTGATGGACTATGCCAAAGAGCAGGGCTCTCTTCAGACCCTTTTTAGGAATCGTGGGGATGGATGTGTAGTGGTTGGGGTGAGAATGATGAAACGGCCGAAATGAAGACAAAAGAGAATAAGGGATTATCTGTAGGATATTACTGCCCCAGAATTTGCCTAAATGATCCAAGGAACCCACAGAAAAACTGCGACCAGAGCAGATGGAATCGAGCCGACGTCCTCCCGAATACAAAGCAATAATCTAAGATTTAAATCTCTGTACAGTGGATACTTTAAATTATCGCAACAAAATCCATAGTATTGAGTCGTCAAAATCATACCAGGTACGTATATTATATATTTTTTGCTAGTTACATAAATTAACACAAGTTTGTAATTTTTCCTCAACCTTTGCTGTAATGCGGAAATTTTCACCGCCGAACTCAGAGGGATGTTATTTTTAACAAACGGTAAGTGTAAGCAGCAATTTTAAAATGTATTTGAAAATGCGTTGCATTTGTAAGGTAATTGGTAGCGAATTTTAATATGATAAATCAATTTTTTATGGGAGTCGCCCAAAACTTAATATGCACACTACAAAAATTATAATCGAAA